CAACAGATGGTGAATTGTCGACTCCCTGTCTCCCCCTTCAAAAAATCGATACCTATTGACCTTTAATTAGTATTGGTGTCTTATCAATATGAATAATAAATTCTGACATGCATTATAATGTCAAATATTCTTGACCATTGAACTTCCATATCTATTAATAGCAACTTCAGTCATAAATCCTTAGAATATGAATGGTTTGCAACTTTGCATGGCAACAAAAATGAAAACTAAGGGAAAGTTTTTGTTGAAGGTTCCCTGCCTAATATTCAGGTAATTTTTGATAGTCCCCTAAATTGTGACCCCTCCCAAAATCACCATTGCCCTCCCCCCACCCCCCGCTAGGTAAATTACAAATGCTCCCTGGCCAAAATGCGAACAATTTCCCTACATGGAGGGACATTATTTTTTTACAAAAAGTAACAAATCCCCCCTCCTGGTGATCAACCCCTGGGAATGCCGATGATTAGTGCAGTTGATTTGTAAACAAGACATTTATTTACCCCAATAAAGTTATGCAAAAAAATAATGTACTGTATGTACAAGACACTATTTCAATGCCTTAACCTCGGCCTTTCCATTCAGGTTCTTTCCCACTCAGGCAATATATTTTTATAGAAAACATTGATTTGTCTTCTAAGGGCGACTTATTTGCAAGCAAGGTCTTGTTTTTTTATAGACAGGGATAAATTTTCCCCTCATGTGATCCCCCCCCCCTCCCTTGTGACACTCTGCAACTCCTGACAGGGGCGTAGGAAGCTTAGAAAAGTTGGGGGGCCAGGCTTTGAGGGGCACTTTAAAAAAAAGGCATCTCAAAAAAATTTTTGGCGACCTCCCCCCCCGTCGGCAAAAAAATTTCGGTCAGTGTACCATTTTAGGGGTAAAAAAATTTTCCGGACATACCATATTTTTCCTTAAATACTAAAAATTTTTTTCCGGAAAAACAAATATATGATATTTTTATCGGAAACTAAAACATTTTTCGGGAAAAAACCTACATTACAGTTTTCAAAAGTTTCGTTTGGACAAAAACTGCGGATTTTATGAAAATTTTTCAGGCACAAAAGGGGCACTTTGCTCCTGTAAAAAGGGCACTTGCCAAAACTTGGGGGGTGCCATGGCCCCCCTGGCCCCCCCGGTTCCTACGCCCCTGACTCCTGATCAAACACCCCTCTATCCCACAAGCATTATGTAGTTTGGGAATGGCCCCATATCACATATGGAATAAATTTGTTTTCAGTTTACTAGCAATAGAGTATGAGAATCCAAAATCATGGATTTGAAATGAAGTAGTATTTTAAAACATTGAGGTCAGGATATGTGGGTCAAGGAAGGTCATTGAAATTGACCTTCATTGGTTTGAATGACAATTGAATGGCTATTGTGCAAGTAAACAAAGAAATGCATGATAAGTATGTGTGCATATAGTAATACTTATATTAAAATACATGAATATCTGTAATTTAAAGGCAAGCCTTAATTTTATAAGCATATGACAGGAAAAATTAATGTTGGTAAAAAAGTGACAGAACACCACAAAGTCATATTGAAAAACAAAAAAGGTACTCTCTCTCTAGTCAGCCCTCTAACACAAATGAATAAAGTCATCAAGCCCCCTATCACTACCCCCCCCCCAACCCCCAATTAACACAAAACCACTGCAATTGATTTTTATAAGATTTTTTTATTCTTACATAAGTTTTAGGCAGACCCTACCACGATGAGTAAAATTGTCTGGCATATTAGACAGAGTAAATTATAAAGTAAGTTATTCTGGGCAAAACACCTTTTCTCATTTTCTCAATACATTTTCTCATCCTGGTATTTTACTTTGTTTATTGCCAGATAATTTTACTTGTCAACAAAATATATTGGGTATATAAAATGAAATTTAATTGGCATATGAGTATCATGCTCAACTTGACTTTTCAGTTAGCTTGATACTGATAGTCGGGCACCATATATTTCACTAATAAAACTTAAATCTGGTATATGTCAAACCTTTGGTATTATAAATATTAATAATATTAAAGACAAATATATTTGTACTGATACTGCAATGTACTTTCTAAAAATAAATTCATCGCACGGTCCTTTCATTAGCAAGTGAAATGTTCTGTTCCATTAACCTTACCATTACTTCCAGTGTGTGGTTTTAAAAGCTGTGTCGAGAAATGCTGGTTAATATTTATATTTTTGAACAAATCATTTCGGTCAACACAGTCTTTGTGTGGAAAAGCCAACAAATTATCAGTGCCAGTGGTGTCCTGAAAGGTTTATCAACGAGACAAAATACAAAATTTAAATATATTACGTGTTTTAAAAGCATTTCGTTACATTTTAGTACAATAGTAAAGATTAATCCAATTCACCAAAATACACCGCCATGTTGATCATTCGAATTTTGCTAGGCCTTCCAGCGCGACCCAGTTCGGATATTTTCCGAAACTGACAGCCCGCAAGTTCACGACAGCCTGTAACTCGCCCGCGCTTGGAAGGCCAGGGACTAGGCTGATTACAACCTATCTGTCATTGTACTTACCCAACAACTGTCCTCAGTAGCGAAGCCCTTCAGGGAGAACATATCCAGGCTAATTAATTACATTCTACAACCCTAGTCGCAAAGACATGAAGGTGATAACAGATGACTACCTGAATGGTGTTCCACCAGAGAAAATTAAGGAGATAACCGACATTCTTAGAAATGAAAAATTCACCGCACTGGATATACTACTAATTCATCCTTACACTTACTCTATTCATTAAACACCGCGTAACATATAGATGGGAATCGGAAAAATGAGAACCGAATCTGAGGAAGAAGTATTTGAGGATGTAGTAAGAGAGGAGGAGGAGGCCGCAAAGTTGTCGCAGAAGTCTACCGCAAGAAAAACTAAGTCTACCGCAGATAAGTCGCAAACTGAACAGAAAAGGGACAAGCTTATAGAGCTATCGAGGGATGGTATAATAGAGAAGCCCGCAAGTTTTATAAGAGTGTCTAACAAGGATGTTGTAGATAGACTGTACCATGAGTATGAAAGTCAGAGGATGTCATGTGCAAGCGACTTCTTATCAACACTTATTATTTCCAAGTTTGCGGCAATTCTGGGTAGATTCAATGCAGTGGAATCTTCAGAAAAAACTATCAGAGGAACTACTTAGTGACAAGCTTCTGAAGGATGATGTAGCATATCTCACAAGAACTATATCCCCCAACATCCCATTCATAGGGCTCATATCTGGTGGCTGTACAACCGCTAAACATATAGTTGCCCACAAGTGAAAGAAGGAAGAGCGGCGGAGGAAGTGTCCGAGGAAACTAAACATATCTTATTACATACAGAATGCCCCGGATCGGGGAACCGTACGAGTGGGGCAACCCTTGGGAAGGAACAGAACTCGAAGACATAATTAACGAACTGATACAGAAAACTGATGAGAATAGGGAGAGACTTACTAAGTTAGAGACAATAGTAGAAGGCATTCAGTATGACCTCAAGTCTTTCACAGAAGAAACAATTAAGATGATGAATAATATTTACAAAAAGCTTTCAGAAGTATAGGAAACACCTACTTAAAGACGTACTTATATATTTATCGTATAGAGAGAAACCGGGAATGACTGAAAAAACAATTTTCTCGACTAAGGGTATAGGAGGGATGGAAAAACTATTTGAGAACAAGAAATTAAATGTAAGCGCAAGAACTGTGAGGAGGGGTGAGGAGGTACTGTTCTACGCAAAAGATGTGGCGGAATCACTAGGATACAATAAACCTAGAAACGCTGTTAGAATTCATGTTTGGGAAGAGGACAAGTGTACCCTGGGTAGTCTACGAAGGGGCCCTGCTGAAGGGCCCCTTTACAAGGGTCAACCAGAGACGGTTCTTATTATTGAACAGGGTCTGTATCAGTTAATATTCGGATCTGAACTTAAGCATGCGAAGGACTTCAGAAGATGAGTTACCAGAACCCAAGTCCCTCTACGGTAAACAACTGAAGCTACTCAACGAGACTGATCTACACTATGCAGTAGTTAGGTACATCAGAAGATACCACCCAAATGCACTTATTGTAGCGGGTCTAGGTGAGTACCAGGATACTGTTCAGCGTAGACGTGACGCCTATCGTAAGGGCTACATAGTCTCTCATAATAACGAATCCAACGAATGGTTACAGAGGATTTGCAATTGAACTTAAGACCCCTAAAGGTACAGGTGAGATTAGGAACAATCAGGTAGCCTGGTTGAACTTACTCCGTGAAAGAGGCTACAGCACAATGATATCCAATAACTACACAGACATAGTGCTAAGGATAGATGAGTACTTCAGGGTAGACCCAACAGTGAAACATAAGAAAGAGAAAGCAAACCTTAGAAAACAGTGTAACATACTTAAGCAGAAACTCAGCGAAGCAACAGCATGCTACCGAGACCTAAGTTCACAGCACACAAATACTAAGCAGTTACCACAACAGTGTAAAGACAAAATTAAAAGATGCTCAGCAGCACATGTCGGCATTTTTTAAGCATTCCCTTCCTGCTGCCAAGTAGATTTCAGACATCTTGTAAGCAAATTTAAGTTATCTCACCAGTTATCTCACCAGTAGATCCCAGTTATCTCACCAGTAGATTTGAGTTACAGTATCTTGCAAGCAAATTCAAGTTATCTCACAAGTAGAATTCAAGATGAAACCCAGTAAAACCTAAGGTATCTTACAAGTAGAATGACAGATAAAACTGAGCAAACTCAAGTACCAGTAACAAGTGAAAAGAAGAAGGACCCCAGAAGAGTAGCTGCAGGGAAACGATTAGCGGCAATCAGTAAAATAGCAAAGGAGAGATAAAGAAAACAGGCTGAACCCAATGAGTCACCTAGTAATGATAGTATGATTGCCTACATAGGAGTGGCTATTGCATTAATATCTCTTGTGCTAGCGTATAAGTCGCATCAGAGGGAAGAAAAAGCATTGGAACCTGAGTACGTACCACAAACTGTGACAATAGTGAAACAACCTGATGAGTCTAGAATCGATTCACTTGAACGATACACTAAACATAACATATATTATAACAAAATGACTACAAATACACCTATTGTTGTGAAACTTCCAAACTACAGCGATGAAATATGCGAAGCAGTTTTACTTACGGCAGGAGCAGTTGGGATATCCATGACATCGACGAAGTTACTGAAAGAATCTCTAGGAACTCCAGAGAGTGCAAAGGGAATGATGAAGTTAGCTTTCTCAGTCTTCCTCTCATCCATAGTGATCGATTACGCAAAAGGCAAGAAGTTCATTCCAGATGACCCATTCAAACCTAAGCAGTAGTATAAGATGGCAAGTGCAGTAGCAGGAAGACTCTTTAATGCATTTGCATTTGCAGGAGCAGGATTCTTATTTAAGATGTTTCACAAGAACGGATACGTTGAGGAAGCAAAAAGACATAACACGGCTATGGAGGCCCTTACAGCTGAAAGAGAGAAGTACCTTTTAGAGATCACTAATAGGAGGAACAAACTAGCCCAGCTGAAGGCGGAACAGGCTGACGCAGATAGGGATATAAAGTCAACGAATCAGTCATTGGAGCTAGTCAGGAGAATCAATGAGTTAACACGTAAGTCCCCACCAAGGAAGACGCAACTAGGTAATCAGTACAAACCTAGCTCAGATATGGAAGAATACATGGCACTCTTTGGTTTACTTGCAGGAGGAGCAATAGGGGGGATCACCTACCTGTTACTCTAGACTTAAACATTATTTTATATTGTAATAGTATATAGAATGGAGTGGTTATGTGAGGCAACGCCTAAGGAGATAGTAATGGTAGGAAGAAAAGCCGAAACTATGGGGGAACTAAAGCAATTAGTTGAAAAGCACATTCAGAATAGAATAACAAGGAGAAACTCATATGATCCAATATGTAGTGAGTGTGGAAGTAAGTCTATTGTAATGATAGATGGGGCAGATACATGTACAATGTGTGGTACCAATGTGTGATACATATACAATGTGTACAATGTGTGATATAAACAACTTTTCATACTACGTTAGCTACAACTACAACAAGGATGAGAACCGTAAGAAAAAGTCTTACCATAAGCGGGTTCGTTGGTTTGAGAGACATTTGTTTGAGCATGTTGCTAACAGGGATAGGGATAAGATACTGGAGCAGTTTAGAAGCATCGTTAGATGAGGATAGGTTATGTGGTAAGGTATTTGTTGAACTTGGATGGAAACCTGAAGGTGCCCCTACTATAACAATTGGAAGAACAGTGAAAGTTGAGCCGCATAGGTCACCGCATTATTTTAACACTAGCCTAGTCATTGACTGGGCTTTTTTAAGTAATCACCCCAAATCACCGCAACTCATAGGGAAACAAAAAAAAATCAGAAATGACAAAAAGTAACAAAAACGTAAAAACCGAAAATTCTCGTATGACTCCCACAGTATGCGAAAACGCTTGTGAACACCCCAACGAACAATGATATCGTTTAAAATTCCAACTTTCTCAGATTGGCCCCACATCACAGAAAAACGATGTCGAATACCCAAGACGTACTCATATATTTAAGGTATAGAGCTCATCCGAGATCACCCCATAAAAATCACATTGACTTAAAGAAAAAATTATATATATAGGTATACAAAATATGACAAGTGCGTTTACTGGAAAAAATAATTTCTCAACTAAGAGTATACGGAAAAGAAAAATGTCAAAGTCAGCACAAAAGAAGAAAGAACAACGTGAGAAAATCAGAGAGCAATTCTTGAGGGACCTCTTTACAGAAGACAACTTGGAACACGGATTTAGCATCTTTGAGGAAGAGGAACCTAAAACAAAAAGGTATAAGTCAGAGGCCAAAATCCAGATGGGTGGTCATAAGGCGATCAATGTGGTGGAACCGAAAAAGCACAGTTCGGAGGTTAAAATCCAGATGAGCAAACCCAAGGTAACCAAGGTGGGACCAAAAAGATTCAGATCTGAGGTTAAGATCCAGCTAAAGAAACCTAAACCAGCCAGACCTATAAGGAAAGCACCGGATATACCCAAAGGTGCAAGTCCATGGAAACCAACACCGAAACCAAGAATTGCCCCACCTAAAGTCAGACCCAATACCGTTACCAAGGAAGAAACTTCAGAATGTAAAACCAACTCCACCACCAGTGATCCGTAAGCCCGTAAAGCAGTCAAAGGAAGTCGAAGATCAAGCCCAAGTGATCACTCCTGAGGAACACGAAATTGATCCATTCGGATCTGACCTTCAAAAGCCGGTCATAGACTACAGCCGAGACTACAGCCAATGGTGCAGCTTAACGTACATGATAACTCCACAGTACTTGGATCCCCTGGAGCAGATGACAGCAAGTAGACAGGTAGTGAGAAGTATACTTGATAACGAGTTGAAGAGAATGGGTGGTTTGAAGTACACAGAGACATTGAAGGTGAGAATGTCGAAGGAAGTCGGTGACGGGAAAACCAAGAAGGACTCGGTCTACTTCAAGTCTAAGACGGGAACTGCAACGAACTTCGAAGATATTGAAAATACAGCTGCCAACAACCAACTGACAATTTTATCAAGAATTGAGACCTTCCAGAACTTAGGTTCAAACTGGAGGATACTAAACATTAAGAGTCACTATGTTAACATTGCAATGTAAAAACCATTGGCTGGGAGCTTATATATGAAACTTCCTGACGACATTAGTAATTCAATGTGTGGACTCATTAATATGAAGAATGATGACGACATGTGCTTTATGTGGTGTCATGTGAGACATCTAAATCCTAGGGCTAGAATGGCAACCACTATTACCAAAAAGGACAGGGAATTCGAAATGAACCTGGATTATGAAGGTATTGACTTCCCTGTGAAGATAAGCGACATGGATAAGATTGAGAGGAAAAATAGTATCAATATATCAGTGTTCGGTTATAAGGGTAAAAAGCAGTTCTACCCCATAAGGATCTCAAAAGCTAAATATAATGAGCATATGGAGCTTACACTCCTGGTTGATGGTGAAGGTAGTAGACATTATGTGCCCATAAAGGATGTGAACAGAATGCTGTGTAGTGTTAGTAAACACGGACACAAGCAGCACTTCTGCTTACACTGTCTTCATAGTTGCATTAGCGAGGAGGTACTGGAGAAGCATAAGGAAACATGTCTGGAGGTAAATGGAACTCAGGCCGTAAAGCTTCCCAAGGAAGGGACAAAAATCAAGTTCAGAAATCATAGGAATTCAATGCCTGTACCGTTTGTCCATACTAGTACCAGAGGAGAGAAAAGAGAAGTCAGAGAACCCTGAGGATCAAAGTAGTACGGACCTTTACCAGACACACAAGGCATGTAGTTTTGGTTTGAAAACAGTCTGCCACTATGATGATAAGCACTCCGGCGAGTATAAGAGCTATGTTGGAAGCGACGCTGCATTGGTCTTCCTAAAGACGGTAGTAAAAGAGTCCTTTAGATGTAGGAATGTGACTGACAAAATATTCAGGAAGAAAATGGTAATTACACCCAAAGAGGAAGCAGAATTCCTGGTTACAAGAAACTGCCACATATGTGGTAACGATCTATGTGAGGACCGTGTGCGAGACCATGACCATGTAACAGGTAAGTACCGCGGAGTTGCTCACAATATATGTAATCTGAAGTACAGAATTAATTACATGGAAAGTACCTGTGGTCTTCCACAACCTGAGAGGTTACGATAGTCATCTGATTATGCAGGAAATTGGTAAGTTCAAGATGGATAATGATTTGTGATTCCAAATAATATGAAAAAATACATCTCATTCTCACTGGGTAAGAATCCGGTCTTCATAGACTCTATACAGTTCATGGCTTCTTCACTGGAAGCACTGGTAAATAACCTTTCACCTGGGGACTTAGAATAGTAGGCAAGAGATGGAAGGGTGAGGACTTCAATCTAGTGACACAAAAAGGAGTGTTCCCATATGAGTTCCTCGATGATATTAGCAAACTCAATACAGAGGGTCTTCCGAGCAGGGAGGAGTTTTACTCCTCACTGTATGAGTCAAAGGTGAAGGAGGAAGACTACCTGAGGGCTAAGAAAGTATGGACTCACTTCAAGATGAAAACCATGAGAGATTACCATGATCTCTACTTGGAGACTGACGTTCTTCTGCTGGCTGATGTATTCGAGAACTTCAGGAGAACATGTCTGGAAAGTTACGAACTTGACCCCGCACATTACGTGTCAGCACCTAGTCTGAGTTGGGACGCTTTCCTGAAAAAGTCAGGTGAAGAAATATAACTCGTAGCGGTATGGATATGTTCCAGTTCTTCGAGAAGAGTATGAGAGGTGGTACAAGTTATATTGCTCATAGACACTCCACAGCTAATAATAAGTACATGGAGACGTACGATGAGACGTCTGAGAACAAGTACCTAATGTACCTTGACGCTAACAATTTATACAGCTGGTCGATGTCACAACCACTACCCAATGGGGAGTTCGAGTGGGTTAAGGACCCTGATAATATAAGGATGGAGAACTACCTGGGAGAAGACGGAAGGGGGATGGTTTTGGAGGTTGACCTGGAATATCCGCAAGAACTTCACGACCTACACAACGGCTATCCTTTAGCACCGGAGAGTAAGGAAATCAGTGCTTCTATGTTGTCAGACTATTCGAAGAGTATTGCTGAGAAATTCCAACTGACAATTGGAGAAGTAAGAAAACTAGTGACTTCACTAGGCCCCAGGAAGAAGTACGTCTTACATGTACGTAATTTGAAACTATAAGCCGTGTTATGTGGGAATGAGCATCTTAGACTTATCCAAGACTCTAATGTACGACTTTCACTACAACACCATTAAGAAGGAGTACGGTAATAATTCGAGGTTACTGTTCACCGTTACCGACAGTCTGATGTACGAACTGAAGACGGATGATGTATACGGGGACTTCAAGAGAATCGGTAAAAAGCAAGACTGCTGGGATAATTCAGAATACCCAAAAGACAGCCCTTACTACTCAACCCATAACAAGAAGGTTATTGGTAAGTTCAAGGATGAAGCTGGAGGAGTACCCATAATTGAGTTTGTTGGGTTAAGGTCAAAAATGTACTCCTATCTCAAGGAAAACGGTGGGGGTGGAATGACAGCCAAAGGGATTAAAAAGTATGTCATCAGTAACAAGCTCACTCATGAGAACTTCAAGAATGTAATCAACACGAAGAATAGGATGAGACACAACATGAATACAATCAGGAGCACGAAGCATGCAATCGGAACTTATGAAATAAGGAAGGTTACTCTGAGTTGCTTTGATGATAAAAGGCATCTGTTGGAAGATGGAGTAACCAGTTATGCTTACGGTAACAAGAACATAAAAAATAGTAACTGAGAAGTTTCCACAGAGCAAAAAGTAATAGTCCTAAAGGGTAAATAAACAACTAAGGCAAACCACCTTATGTACCCCCAAGGAGAAAATAAAGGTTGTCGATGAGGCTCTAGAATAAGCAAATCATAGGATATTGGAGAAGTCTATAATCACAACTAGAATGATCATATTGGAGTCTCAGCTGGAGTTACGTGACCGCTAAAGCGATCCCGAAGCTCCCAGGTAAGTTTAACGAAAAACGTCTCAGAATGGCTCTAGAACAGCAGTTTCAGTAGACATGTAATAGGGAAAATTTCACACCTGGCTAGCACAGTAACTGCAGGAGCGGCACCATTTTTTGGCGCGCGGAGCGGGACCAAAAATGGTCTCGCTTCGGCAGTTCCTATACTACTTGAACAAAGTGAAAGACGTGTTTGTTAGCACTGTTTCCGAAGTGGAAAGCGTTGATGCATCGAATTATAAGACAAGCCGGTTGAAGCAAAGGATGAAAACACGGTTCCCACATCTTGCTTTTCATGCCACCAAAAGAAAAAAGAAGAGCGAAATTGTATATTCCGATTGCTTAAAGAAAGCTGATGTGGTTGAGAATGTTGTATGTGCGGATACTTCACAATCTTCGTCCACCGAAACCGAAAGTGATTCCAATAAAACTGGTGGTACTAAATCAAAACCAGCCAACATAAGTGCGACGTTGAAGGAGTTGTATGATGTGGCAATGACCCTAAGAATGGAATTAGAAGAGAAGAAGAAAATAAGGTGAGCTCTTATTGATACTGTAAGTGTATTCAGAAGATCTATCACATATACAGAGTGTATAAAAAAAGGTAATCCAACTTCAGCGCGCTAATGTATGCGATGTACTTCATGTATGAACAAAGTTTTCTCACATTCTGAAAGATGAGGCTTTTAGCTGTTGAATGACACATTTTTAATACCAAATGGAGAAAAGATAAGCAAATACGAGTCTAATAAAAAATGGTAGTTAGAAACAATCTGATCTTTCCGAATATGAACAAAATTCGTTCATACACTGAGTAGTTCACGAAAAAATTTCGTTCATACACTGACAGGGCTGTCCCAAAGAAAAGTAAAAAATGGAGCCCAAATTGCGGAGATGGGGCCCTGGAAAGCGGAACGTGTTAAATATTGAGGAATTTTCTGGAAAATTGGTCTAAAAAGGTCTTCAAAACTAAATTTAAGCCCCATTATGTAAACCTAATGTTTGAAAATATTTTTGGGGCCTCCCCCCCCCTCCCCAGTATTTTCCAGAAAAATGTTTTGGTTTCTGGAAAAAATGTTTTGAGGGGGGCCCCAAATGGGAGGGGGCCCACATTTTTCATTTCACCCTCCCCCCAACCAAAAACCACTTGGCACGGCCCTGTACACTGAGTAGTTTTGATACACCCTGTATAGTGTGTATAAAAATATATTTGATATGAATAGAGATTACAGTCAAATTCGGCATTCCTTAGCGAGCAACATTGCAATATTGTCACGCAATATTGCAATGTTGATTGACAGATTGCTCTAGCAAATTGCAACCGACGCAGGAAAATTGCAATTTCAACTGAAAATTCAAAAATTAATTTCGCAGACCTATACAGTAATGTGATTCGCAACTTGCCAGCACGTTTGTAAGCAAAGCCTGATTGGGTGAAAAACAAGCCAATGAAGTGTGTCTGTATGGAATAATAGGTCTGTAAATGAACTTTTGAATTTGCAGTTGACAGTTGAGTAAAAATTGCAGTTTTCCCGCGTTGATCGCAATTGGCTTGGGCAATCTGCCAATCAATCTGTCAATTCGTGACAATATTGCAATGTTGCTCGCAAAGGAACGCCGAATTTGACTTCAATATAATATTTATATTTTCAAGGTGGTATGAAAATTGGCCTCCTGTTGCCTCAGATCTGTCTGATACAAGTGTTAAAAAAATAGTGTCACTACTACTTTTTTATTTCATGGCTTGGGTGCTGGGATTTTCTGATGAGCCTGTACTGACAAGTTATCTTCATGTTCACGAGAATGAGGCTACGCAGATTTTCTCCATTTGCCAAGATGTGATAAATGCTTTTAGTCAAGGAAGAACTCAAACACCAAAGGCGTTGTCTTTAGCGAATGGCAGTCAGGCAAATATCAGGTTGCTCTGGGTTGATAAACATTTTACATGGACTGGGGCATTGTGTTTCTTTATCCTCAACAATGGCTTATGACTCTGACCTAACCCATTGACAATCAACACATCAAATATTGTTCCCAAAGAGTTCATTCCTGGCAAACATATCAATCTTGTGTATGACAACATTGATTTTCAAGAGGAATCTGACAAGCAAACACATGTAACAAATGGCATCATCATTCAGAAAACAGTTCCTGGTACCCTTTATAATGTCGAGCGTCCATCTGAGTGTGCAACAATAAAGAAGAAGGAAAGATCAATAGAAGTACCAGCAAGTACCATCACTCCATATGTCATAGGTATAAAGAAAACACCTACATTTGATAGCTCTGCATTGGATCTTGCATCAATGGAACCCCACGTCAACAACAGCGAAATTGCCACAGCTCAGAAATTAGACCTAGCATATTCGGTGATCAAGATTTTTGCTGCTAATGATGAAGAGCTTTGCCCGCCTTGGCCTGGTTGGACAGGATTCAATACTATGCTACGAAATTCTGATATACAGCCTGTGTCAAGAGTTGTGTCAAGTGTCAGACGAGTTCGGACGTTTGGAAGTGGATATCCCACCTGTTCAAACCCAGACAGGATCAGTCGACTGTGGTTTGTTTGCTATCGCCTTCGCGTACGAATTAGCAGTTGGAAACTTTCCAGTACACAAGGTACGCTTTGACCAAAAGAAAATGAGGAGCCATCTTCTCGCCTGTTTTGAGAAGCGAGAATTGACCCACTTCCCCCAAGTACGTCGACAGCCAGCAACACAGCCAAGACAACACAACAGCGTCACAATCGCGACATTATGTGAATGTAAACTGCCAGAAGAATACGACAACATGATTTCATGCGATCTCTGCGGGAAATGGTTCCACTTTGGATGCGTGGAATATGACATTAGTATAAGTACTTCAAATGAGTGGTTATGCCGACTGTGCACACCACCAGCTGCTAAGAAGCCTAAACTGTGTATGTAATTAGTTTTGTCCTTGTAATAAATAAATAAATCACACAATAAATCTTTTCAACTTGCAATCGTTTTGTTTTTAGATCAAAAATTCAAAATTTATATGGGGGGGGCGAAATTCCTAAAGGGGGGCGATATTCCTAGGAGATTCGCCCCCCTGGGGGGCGATATTCCTAGGAGATTCGCCCCGGGGGGGGCGAATATCCTAGGAATATCGCCCCCCTTTTGAGAGGGGGGGCGAATCTCCTGGGGGGGCGAAAATCCTGTGACACCGGATTAACGTCGCGCGAGGCCCGTGGCAAATTTTAGCGCGAGGCCCACAAACCTCCCCGTTTCTGCTTTTTATGAAAACCATTGAATTTAAAGACACACAAAAGTGTTAAATAATTGTTTTTCAATATTTCAATTTCTTTGCACAATTATAAACGAGATAATTAGCCTGCCTGCCGCAGTTGGTGGGTATAAACAGGATCATAATATAACAGCTCAACGCAACTAAATAAAGATTCGCCCTATTCACATTAGAGACGGACAAGTCGTCTAGACGAACAAATCGTGTCTGAAAAATCTTCTTCACAGACGGACAATTAGTCGAACAAATTCAGACGACTTGTTCGTCTAAAATGTTGTCCGACACGTTTTCACATCTGATGATTTGTCCGACTAAAAGACGATTTTGAGACGATTTGTTCGTCTAGACGATTTGTCCGTCTTCTAATGTGCAAACGGCTATTATATGAACACGAGTATTGCATATTTTCCCGGGGCGGTGCTAGGGCGAACTGCCAAGCCTAGGGGCCCTAAATGCGCGAGGTCCCTAAATTCGCGAGGCATCTAAAATGGGTGTGTCCCAATAGAAAATGGCCGTGTTCTCGTAAAAATGGGCGTAGCACAGTAAAGCGCGAGGCCCACGGCATTTGCCGTATTTGACACGTGGTTAATCCGGCGTTAAATGAGCAACAAGCTTTCATTTTCTTTAAACGCGACGTGTGGGGAGACAATAATAATTTGTGGTGTCGCACTGGGCCAACATATCTCAATGCTGTATTTATACTTGTGAAATATTATAAGATCAATAGACATTAGTGTATCAAAATAAAGTAATTTTACTGATTATTTTAACTGTGCATCAAAGTAAACACACATTATTCTAAACTACAGTATTTGCTGTATGCCTATAATTTGAGTTTGAGGTGGTAGAATATATAATAAAATAACAAATCCTTGTATGGATAAATGTTCATTTCACACGCACGCTATTAACAGCTGCTTAATAATTAACTTATGTATTCGTAAACATTTATACTCGATAGTCGATATGTAAATACTAAATAAATGGTACATTATATGGATCAATGTAAACTGGAACAAAACAACAACTGTCAATTAAAGTTCTAATTTTGGGAAATTTAGTAACAAATATAAAATCCCTAAACAGCTCACTGATTTGTATGTTTGCGCTATTGAATGTAGAGAATATTGAACAATGATCTGAAGTTGTCATGCAACTGACAACAATATTATATTTCAAAATACCTGTATATGATGATATTTTACAAATATCTCGGGATTTTTGGACCAATTTTAAACTAAGCAAGGCAAAAAGTCTCCATTCAAGAATATATCTTCTTCTCAAAAGGTAAAATACTTAAAATACTTTATTAAATTGTTTACTTCGACGGTATGTAAATTAACAGAGTTTGACTTGCAAGACGTCAAAAACGGACGATTTCAACGCGCTGTCGTTTATCGCGTATTCATTTGCCAAAAGAAGTATTTACGTCAATTGAAAGCTTGCTTATTAAAGAGACAACTAGTAGAAGCATGATCGATTTGGAGCTTTATCGCATGGTGAAAATCGGTTTTGTTAAGAGGGTATAATCGTAAATGAAGTAAGATAGTGTGCTCCAAAACTACGATTATATCTATTCCTAAAAGTAACTCAGATTTCCTGTAAGTCATGTATACCGTCCTTTGAATAACCGAAAACAAGATTTTTAGGGTTTTAGATCGATTAGAAACGGTTGTCGTCGTGAAATTTATCTGTAAAATCAGCGCATATTTTCCCAGAAAAATGGCGATTTAGGGTGGTCGTGTTAAAACGGCATTTTCTCAAAGTTAAAAAAGCATTTGACCTAAAAAAATATATGGTGCATTTTCTGATATAATAAGGTATATCTGGGCAAAATTTGAGCAAAATCGATTTTTCAGTCGTGGCCGCGCAATGTCTCATATGTTCGATTTTTACTG